CTCCTTTCCTGCTCCTTCCTTCCTTCTCATTTCCCCTTCCTCCTTCCCCCCTCCCTCCCTCCTTCCTTCCTCTCCTTTCCCCTTCCTTCTTTTCTTCCTCCCTTCCCCCTTCCTTCCTTCCTCCTTCCCCCCTCCCTCCTTCCTCTTCCTTCCTTCTTCCTCCCTCCCTCCTTTCCCCCTTCCTCCCCCTTCTTTCCTCTTCCTCCCTTCTCCCTCCTTCCTTCCTCTCCTTTCCCCTTCCTTCTTTTCTTCCTCCCTCCCTTCCCTTTCCTCCCTCCTTCCCCTCCCTCCCTTCTTCCTTCTTTTTCCTTCCTCCTCCCTCCCTTCTCCTTCCTTCCTCTTTCTCCCTCTTTTGGGGCCTTTCCCTTCTTTCCTCCCCAAGAGGCGGGGGTCACTTGATTTGCAAAGAGAGGAGGAGAAGAGAGGAGAGAGAGAGAGAGAGAGCAGCCAGGGGCCTCCTTCCTTCCTTCCTTCCTTCCTTCCCTGCCCGCCTGCCTGCCTCTCTCTCCGGACCCGCGACGCCTCTGCTCGGATTTCGGATCCAAGCACCAAGATCGAGCCCGAAGTCCGGCACCAGGTCCAGGCATTTGGGGGGGGGGGAGCGGAGACCCCAAATGGCTGCCCATTTGGGGGAAGAAGGGAAGAGAGTGCGTAGAGGGAAAGGATCAAGGGGCCAGGGGAGAGAAGGAAGAAGGAGGTAAGTAAATGTATGGAAGGAAGGGAAGAAACACGGGATCCTCGAATCCTAGAGTTGGGAGAGACCTCGGGGGGGAGGGGGGCGTCCAGCCCAAGCCCATTCTGCCAAGAAGCAGGAAAATCGCCTTCAAAGGGAAGAGTGTGGAGAAGAAAAGAGAACAGAAAGAAAGAAAGAAAGAAAGAAAGAAAGAAAGAAGCCAGGGGAGAAGGAAAGGGAGGAAAGAAGGAAGGGACGGAGGGAGTGAAAAGTGTAGAGAAGGAAAGAAAAGAAGGAAAATAGAAGGAAAGAAAGAAAGAAAAGAAGGGAAGAGTGTAGAAGAAAAGGAAGGAAGGAAAGAAGGGAGGGAGGGAAGAGAGTGGAAAAGGAAAGAAAAAGAAGGAAAATAGAGAGGAAGGAAAGAAGGAAGAGGCTAGGGGAGAAGGGAAGGAAAGAAAGAAGAGTGTAGAAGGAAAGGAAGGGAAAAAGCTAGGAGGAAGGAAGGGAGGGAAGAGAGTGAAGAAGGAAAGAAAAGAAGAAAGAAAATAGAAAGGAAGAGGCTAGGGGAGATGGAAGGAAGGAAAAAGTAAAGATAGATGGACGGGGGAAGAAAGGGAGGAGAGAAGGAAGAAAGAAAAAAAAGAATGACAGGCGAGAGGAAATAAGGGCAGAGAGTGTGGAAGGGAAGAAGGAGGAAAGTGAGAAAGAAAGAGGCCAAGGGAGCACCAAAGGAGGAAGAAAAGGGAAAGACGGGCGGAAGAAAGGACAGAAAGGCAAAAGAAAGGAAAAGGAAAGGAAGGAGAAGGGAAGGGAAGGCAGGCAGGCAGGCCAGGCGAACGTCGGAGGCTCCTGGTCTTCTCTCCCCGCCGCCGCGCCCTTCGCTTCCCACCGGAGGCAAAGAAGAAGGAGAAGGAGGAAGAGAGGCACCTCCGAAGGGCTTCCCCGGCCGCCCCGAGATCCCCTTCCCCGGCCCCAGAGGCAGGAAGGGAGCCCCCCCCCCCCCCCCGACCTTCCCTCAAGGAAGGCAGAGAAGAGGGAGAGAGAAGGAGGGAAGGAAGAAGGAAGAAAAGGAAAGGAAAGGGAAAGGAAGGAAAGGGAAGGGGGAAGGGAAGGAAAAAGGGAAAGGAAAGAAAGGAAGGAAAAGAAAAGGAAGGAAGGAAGAGCAAAAGGAAAGAAGGAAGGAAAGGACGAAAGGAGGAGGGAGAAAGAAAGCGGCAGATCAGAAGGGAAGGAGGAAAGGCGGAAGGGAATGAAAGAAGGAAGGAAGGAAGGTGGTAGGGCAAAAAGGGGGAAGGAAGGAAAGGAGGAGAGAAGGAAGGAAAAAAGAAGGAAAGCGATAGATAAGAAGGGAAGGCAGAAGGCAAGGAAAGGAAGAAAATAATTAAGGGAGTTAAAGAAAGAAGGAAGGTAAAAAGACAACAAGATAGGGCAAAAGGTGGAAGGAAGGAAAGAAAGAAGGAGAGGAGGAAGGAAAAATAAGGAAAGAAGTAAAGAGAAGGGAAGGAAGGATAGAAGGAAGGAAGGAGGAGAGGAGGAAGGAAAAATAAGGAAAGAAGGAAAGAGAGAAAGAGAAGGGAAGGAAGGATAGAAGGAAGGAAGGAAGGAGGAGAGGAGGAAGGAAAAATAAGGAAAGAAGTAAAGAGAAGGGAAGGAAGGATAGAAGGAAGGAAGGAAGGAGGAGAGGAGGAAGGAAAAATAAGGACAGGAGGAAAGAGAGAAAGAGAAGGGAAGGAAGGATAGAAGGAAGGAAGGAGGAGAGGAGGAAGGAAAAATAAGGAAAGAAGGAAAGAGAGAAAGAGAAGGGAAGGAAGGAAGGAAGGAAGGAGAAGAGGAGGAAGGAAAAATAAGGAAAGAAGTAAAGAGAAGGGAAGGAAGGATAGAAGGAAGGAAGGAGGAGAGGAGGAAGGAAAAATAAGGACAGGAGAAAAGAGAGAAAGAGAAGGGAAGGAAGGATAGAAGGAAGGAAGGAGGAGAGGAGGAAGGAAAAATAAGGAAAGAAGGAAAGAGTGAAAGAGAAGGGAAGGAAGGATAGAAGGAAGGAAGGAAGGAAGGAAGGAGAAGAGGAGGAAGGAAAAATAAGGAAAGGAGGAAAGAGAGAGAGAAGGGAAGGAAGGATAGAAGGAAAGAAGGAAGGAAGGAAGGGAGGGAGGAGGGAGGAAAAATAAGGAAAGAAGGAAAGAGAGAAAGAGAAGGGAAGGAAGGATAGAAGGAAAGAAGGAAGGAAGGAAGGAAGGAAGGGAGGGAGGGAGGAGGAAGGAAAAATAAGGAAAGAAGGAAAGAGAGAAAGAGAAGGGAAGGATAGAAGGAAGGAAGGAAGGAAGAGAGAAGGAAGGAAAAATAAGGAAAGGAGGAAAGAAAGGAAGGGAAGGAAGGATAGGGAGTGATGATGGAAAGGAAGAAGGGGGAAAAGGAAAGAGGTAGGAAGGAAAGAAAGAAGAAAAGAAGAAGGCAAGGAAGCCCCGGAGGAGGAAGAAGGGAAGGTCTCCCTCGGCTTGCCCCCGCCTTCCCATGGAAGGGTCTCCTCAGGAAGTTGGGGGCCCCTTCCCCAAAGAGGTAGGCAGGAAGAGAGAGGCCCTACCTGTCCCTTCTTTCCTTCCTTCCTTCCTTCCTTCCTTCCTTCCTTCTTTCGCGGTCGGGCAAAGCTTCCCGGAGAGGGGAGGGGCGGATGAGAGGGGTGTGGCTTAGTGGGCGTGTCCCACCCACCCCACCGTGGGGCCCCGCCCCCTTGCCCCCTTGCCCCGCCCTCCCCTGGCGGGGCAGGTGCCGGCTGGCCAATCAGCGGGGGCGCCCGGCAGGTGGGCGCTTTATCCGGACCCTGGAGCCCCGCCGCGACGCCACTCCGAGGGAGAGAGAGAGAAAGGGAGAAGGAAGGAGAGGAAGAGAGGAAAGGGAGAGGGGGAAAAGAGAACAAGAAGGGGAGAAAGAGAAGGAAGAAGAAAGGAAAGAGGTAGAGAAGAAGGGAAGGAAGGAGGGAGAGAAGGAGGGCGGGAGGGCCCTGCTCCTCCAAAGGAAGGAAGGTGAGAAAGAAGGGAAAGAAAGAGGAGGAATAAGGAAAGTAGGAAGGAAGGAGAAGGGAAGGAAGGAAGAAGCGAAAGAAGGTGTGAGAAAAGGAAGAAGGGAAGGAAAGAGGGAGGGAGGGAAGAAGGAGGGAGGGCCTGCTCCTTCAAAAGAAGGAAAGAAGGAGGGAAGAAGTGGGAAAAGAAGGAGGGAGGGGAAGAGAAGGAAGGAGGGAAGAAGGAAAGAAGGAGAAAAGGAAGGAAGGAGGAAGGGGAAGGAGAGAAGGAAGAAGGGAGTAAAGAAGGAGAGAAGGAAAGACGAAGGGAGGGAGGGAGGGAAGAAGGGAAGGAAAAAGCGAAAGAAGGAGAGAGAGAAGGAAGGCAGGAAGGGCCCTGCTCCTTTAAAGGAAGGGAGAAGGAAGGTAAAGAAAGAAGGGAGGTAAAGAAGGAAGAAGGGAGGGAAAGAAGGGCCCTGCTCCTCCAAAGGAAGGAAGGAGAAAAGGAAAGGAAAGAAAAAGAAAGAAGAAGGGAGGTAAAGAAGGACGGAGGGAGGGAAGAAGTGAAAGAAGGAGAGAGAGAAGGAAGGAAAGAAGGAAGGAAGTGCCCTGCTCCTCTAAAGGAAAGGAGGGTAAGAAAGAGAAGGAGGGAGGGAGAGAAGAAGGGAAAGAAGGAGGGAGAGAAGGAAAGAAAGAAGGGCCCTGTTCCTCTAAAGGAAGGGAGGAGAGAAGGAAGGGAAGGAAAGAGAAGGAGGGAGGGAGGAAGAAGTGAAAGAAGGAGAGAAGGAAGGGAAAGAAAGAGGAGGAGTGAGGGAGAGAAGAAGGGAAGGAAGAAGTGAAAGAAGGAGGGAGGTCCCTGTTCCTCCGAAGGAAGGGAGGAGAGAAGGAAAGAGAAAGAAGGAAGGTAAAGAAGGAAAGAGGGAGGAGGGAAAGAAGAAGGGAAGGGCGAAGTGAAAGAAGGAGGGAGAGAAGAAGGAAGGGAAAGAAGGAAGGTAGGGCCCTGTTCCTCCGAAGGAAGGGAGGATAGAAGGAAGGGAAAGAGAAAGAAGGAAGAAGGGAGGCAAAGAAGGAAAGAGGGAGGAGGGAAGGGAGATGGAAGGAATGAAGGAAAGAAGGAGGGAGGGAGAGAAGTAGCGAAGGAAGAAGCGACAGAAGGAGGGAGGGAGGGAAAGAAGGAGTGTCTTGTTCCTCCGAAGGAAGGAAGGAAGGAGAGAAGGAAGGGAAAGAAAGAGAAGGAGGAGGGAGGGCCGTGCTGCAAAGGGAGAAGGGAAGGCAGTCAGTCAGTGAGGCAGGCGGGCTCCCCTATTTGGGGCGGGGGTCTCTGTCCTGCTGGCCATGTTCCAGGCCTCCCTGGGGGCGGGGGCGGGCGCGGGGGCGTCCAAGCGCTGCTTCTCCATCGAGTCCCTGGTGGGCAAGGACCCCCTCCCGGCGGTGGGGGTGGGGGCGGCGACGGCGGTGGGGGGCCCCGGGGGCCTGGGCTGCTTCCAGGGGGGCTTCCCGGCCTGCCCGGGGCCCCGCCCGCCCCTCTTCGGCAGCCCCCCCGAGCTGCTCTTCGCCGAGAGCCTGGCCCCGCCCCGCCTGGCGCCCCCGCCCCACCCCCACGCCCCGCCGCCCCCCTCCGGAGCCCCCCCGGCGCCCTTCTTCGCCGCCCCGCCGCCCCCTCCCCGGCCCACCGCCGCAACAGCCGCAGACCCCCTCGGCTTCTACCCCTGGGTCCTCCGGAGCCGCTTCTTCGGGCACCGCTTCCAAGGTAAGGCGGGATGAGGAGGGGGGGGGGTCCTCAAGCCATCCCCAAGCCCTCCATCCCGGGGGCATCCGCACTGCGGGGTTAACGCGCTTTGAGATGCTGAGAGTTGCACTTTGGAAGCTTCACCATGTGGTCATAGTGCAGACCAGGCATGGGTCAGCTTTGGCCCTCCTTCTAGGGTTTTTGGACTCAACTCCCACCATTCCTCACGGCCTCAGGCCCCTTCCTTTCCCCCCTCAGCCGCTTAAGTGGCTGAGGGGGGAAAGGAAAGGGCCTGAGGCTGTGAGGAATGGTGGGAGTTGGAGTCCAAACCCCCTGGAAGGCCCAAGTTCTCTCAAGGAGGAAAGAGGACTCTGGACTCAAGGATAGGAAGGACTTCCTGAGGGCAAGGAGAGCTGGACAATAGCCTGGGGGTCACTTGGAGTGGCCTTCTCTGGGAACGAGGCTGGGTGGACCTCTGTCGGGAGGGCTTGGGTGGTGTCTTCCTGCCTGGTGGAGGGGAAGGAAGGAAATAAGGAAGAGGAAGGAAGGAAAGATAGAAGGGAGTAAGGAAGGAAGGAAGGAAAGATAGAAGGGAGGAAAGAAAGAAGGGAGTAAGGAAGGAAGAAGGAAGGAAATAAGGAAGGAAAGAAGTCACTTTGCTCTTCTCTGAGAACGAGGCTGGGTGGACCTCTGTTGAGAGGGCTTGGGTGGAAGGAAGGAAAGAAAGAAAGAAAGAAAGAAAGAAAGAAAGAAAGAAAGAAGGGAGTAAGGAAGGAAAGAAGAAGGAAGGAAAGAAAGAAGGAAGAAAGGAAAGGAAGGAAAGGAAGGAAGGAAAGAAAGTAAAGAAAGAAAGAATAGATGGAGGGAGGAAGAAAGCAGGGAAGAAAAGAAGGAAGGGAGGAAGAAAATGGAGGGAGGGAGGAAAGAAGAAAAGAAGGAAGGAAAGAAAGAGACAGGAAGGAAGACAAAAAGGAAGGAAATTAAAAAAGAAGAAACGAAAGAAAGAACGGAGGAGGGAAGGAAAGAAAAAAGGGAGGGTGGAAGAAGGAAGGAAATAAAGAAGGAAGCAGGGAAGAAAGGAAGGGTGAAATGAAGGAAAGGAAGGAGGGAAAGGAAGGAAGAAAAGTGGAAAGAAGAAAGGAAGGAAATAAAGAAGGAAGGATGGAAGCAGGGAAGAAAAGAAGGAGGGAAAGAAAGACAGGCAGGAAGGAAGGAAGACAAGACGACAGGAAGGAAGGAAAGAAAGAAAGAAGGAAGGAAACTGGAAAGAAAGAAGGAAGGACAGAAAGAAGAAAGGAGGGAAGGCAGGAAGGAAGGAAAGAGAGAGAGAGAGAGAAGGATGGAAGCAGGGAAGGAAAGAAAGAAAGAGACAGAAAGGAAGGAAGTACAGGAAGGAAGGAAGGAAACTGGAAAGAAAGAAGGAAGGAAAGAAAGAAGAAAGGATGGAAGGAAGGAAAGAGAGAGAGAGAGAGAAGGATGGAAGCAGGGAAAGAAAGAAAGAAAGACAGACAGGAAGGAAGGAAGGAAGGAAGACAGGATGACAGGAAGGAAGGAAACTGGAAAGAAAGAAGGAAGGAAAGAAAGAAGAAAGGATGGAAGGAAGGAAGGAAAGAGAGAGAGAAGGATGGAAGCAGGGAAGGAAAGAAGGAAGGAAGGAAAGAAGGACAGACAGAAAGGAAGGAAGACAGGATGACAGGAAGGAAGGAAGGAAATGAAGAAAGAAGGAAGAAAGGAAGGAAGGATGGAAACTGGAAAGAAAGAAGGAAGGAAAAAAGAAGAAAGGAGGGAAGGCAGGAAGAAAGGAAAGAGAGAGAGAGAAGGATGGAAGCAGGGAAGGAAAGAAAGACAGACAGAAAGGAAGGAAGGAAGGAAATAAAGAAAGAAGAAAGGAAGGAAGGAAAGAAAGAAGCAAGGAAGGAAGCTAGAAAGAAAGAAGAAAGGAGGGAAGGCAGGAAGGAAGGAAAGAGAGAGAGAGAAGGATGGAAGCAGGGAAGGAAAGAAAGACAGACAGAAAGGAAGGAAGGAAATAAAGAAAGAAGAAAGGAAGGAAAGAAGCAAGGAAGGAAGCTAGAAAGAAAGGAGGGAAGGCAGGAAGGAAGGAAAGAGAAAGAGAGAGAGAAGGGAACTCGACTGGATGGCCTTTGGGGTCTCCTCAATCCCTTTCCCATGGACTCCTTTCCCTCATCCTGTCTCTGTGCCTTTGCTGTAGTCCACTCGCCCCTTTTGACTGGCTTGGCCCAGAACTGGACTCTCTCTGCTCCCAGGTAAAGATGTTTGACCAAAGCAGAAGAGACTGGGAATAGGACTTCTTGAGCGGCTGAAAGGGAAAAGAAAGGGGCCTGAGGCCAGGAATGGTGGGAGTTGAAGTCCACAACACCTGGAGGGAAGGCCCAAGTTGGCCCAGGCCTGATTTAGACTCGATTTTCCTCTTGATTCATCTGGACTAAAGGTTTTCCTCTGTGTGACTGAATGGAAATGAGACTTGGAGTCCTATCACTCCCACTTTTCCCTCTGTTTTACACTTCTAAATCTTATATTTATCATTTCTTCTCAACTTTGCTTTGAGTTTTATTGTTGTTGTATTGTCGAAGGCTTTCATGGCCGGAATCACTGGGTTGTTGTAGGTTTTTTCGGGCTCTAGCAGCATTCTCTCCTGATGTTTCGCCCACATCTATGGCAGGCATCCTCAGAGGTTGAGAGGTTTTATTATTTTCTTTTTTTAGATCTAATTATCACCTCTACCATTATTATTTTGTGTCCATTGTATTATTTATTCTCCACATTGTACAGCCCTCCTTCTCTCTGGTTTGTTGACAATTCTACTTTTGGGTTGCTGTGAGTTTCCCCGGGCTGTGTGGCCATGTTCCAGAAGCATTCTCTCCTGACGTTTTTGCCTGCATCTGTGGCAGGCATCCTCAGAGGTTGTGAAGTCTATCTATATAAATAAAATATATTTTTCTAGTCATATATAAACTCCATTTACCATATAGATAATATATACATTCAATTTTCTAGCCATATATAAACTCCATTTACCATATAGATAATATATACTTTCAATTTTCTAGTAATATATACACTCCATTTACCATATAGATAATATATACATTCATTTTCCTAGTAATATATAAACTCTATTTACCATATAGATAATATATAAATTCATTTTCCTAGTAATATATAAACTCCATTTACCATATAGATAATATATACATTCGATTTTCTAGCCATATCTAAACTCCATTTACCATATAGATAATATATACATTCAATTTTCTAGTCATATATAAACTCCATCTACCATATAGATAATATATAAATTCATTGGGTTCTTGTAGGTTTTTCGGGCTATATGGCCATGTTCTAGAAGCATTCTCTCCTGACGTTTTGCCTGCATCTGTGGCAGGCATCCTCAGAGGTTGTGAAGTCTATCTATATAAATAAAATATATATTTTCTAGTAATATATAAACTCCATTTATCATATAGACCTTCATTGGGTTCTTGTAGGTTTTTTGGGCTATATGGCCATGTTCTAGAAGCATTCTCTCCTGACGTTTTGCCCACATCTATGGTGGGCATCCTCAGAGGTTGTGAAGTCTATCTATATAAATGAAATATATTTTTCTAGTAATATATAAACTCCATTTACCATATAGATAATATATACATTCAATTTTCTAGTCATATATAAACTCCATTTACCATATAGATAATATATAAATTCATTGGGTTCTTGTAGCTTTTTCTCTCCTGACGTTTCGCCTGCATCTGTGGCAGGCATCCTCAGAGGTTGTGAGATCTATCTATATAAATACAAATGTAATGTTAGTTTGTGGGGTTAACATAACTCAAAAACCACTGGGTGGATTGACACCAGATTTGGACACAAGACACCTCTCAGGCCAACGAGTGACCATCACTCATAAAAACACTGGAAAACACAGCAGAAGAGACTTAAAAAGCCAAAAAAAAAACCCCTCAAACACATGCAATGCATGCACATAACCACATATATACACATATACACATAACTCAAAAACCACAGGGCTGATTGACACCAAATTTGGACACAAGACACCTCTCAGGCCAATGAGTGACCATCACTCATAAACACACTAGAAAACACAGCAGAAGAGACTTAAAAAGCCAAAAAACTCATACAATGCATGCACATAACAACATATATACACATAACTGAAAAACCACTGTGCTGATTGACACCAAATTTGGATACAATACAACTATCAGGCCAATGAGTGACCATCACTCATGAAAACACGAAAACACAGCAGAAGAAACTTAAAAAGCAAAAAAAGAGACCCACATACAATGCGTACACATAACCACATATATACACATATACACACACAAAACACATATACACAGACTGGGTCACAGCAACTCGTGGCAGGGGATGGCTAGTAATATATAGACTCCATTTACCATATAAATATATAATTCCAATTTTCTAGTAATATATAAACTCCATTTACCATATAAATATATAAATTCAATTTTCTAGTAATATATAAAGTCAATTTACCATATAGATAATGTATACATTCAATTTTCTAGTAATATATAAAGTCCATTTACCATATAAATATATAAATTCATTTTCCTAGTAATATATAAACTCCATTTACCATATAAATACATACATTCAATTTTCTAGTAATATCTAAACTCCATTTACCATATAGATAATATATACATCCAATTTTCTAGTAATATATAAACTCCATTTACCATATAAATATATAAATTCAATTTTCTAGTAATACATAAACTCCAGTTACCATATAGATAATATATAAATTCATTGGGTTCTTGTAGGTTTTTCAGGCTATATGGCCATGTTCTAGAAGCATTCTCTCCTGACATTTCGCCTGCATCTGTGGCAGGCATCCTCAGAAGTTGTGAGGTCTGTCTATCTATATAAATAAAAATGTAATGTTAGTTTGTGGGATTAACATAACTCAAAAACCATTGGGCGGATTGACACCAAATTTGGACACA